ACAAAGCAAGGTCTTGGTTTTTACTTTAGGTTAAAGGATGCTTTTTTGAAGAAGTTATATGATGTTCTTGCTGTGTGCTAAAAGATGAAAAGCAATGGAAATACTTTAGTTTTAATTGTACTTGTGTGGAGATCATCTCTGTTCTTGAGAAAGAATTGTAGAAAAAGTAGGAGAACTGACCATGAACAGTTTGAATGACCCTAGTTGAGGGGAGGATAGCCAGTAGTTTGGAGATAAGGTACTGATTATCTGTACTGATTGTCTTTCTGAGACATCATGGAATTCAGTGGATGTTCCATGGCGATGTGAAGTTGTCTTAGTCCATTTTCTTTTGCTATAATTTAATACTTGTGACTGCATAATGTATAAAGAAATTTATATTTTATAGTTCCAAAGGCTAGAAAGTCCAAAAGCATGGTACCAGCATCTTCTTGCTGTATTGTAACTGTTGGAGAGGAAAACAAAGCAAGTGTGTGTCAGCTTATGTCTTCTCCTCTTCCTCTTCCTCTACCCCCCACCCCTCAGGGATGTCGCTACATCCCTGCCCTTGAACTTGCTATTCCTGCCTTAATCTCCCAAGTAGCCCAGTTTATAGGTGTGTACCACCACACCCAGCTCTTCTAAAGCCACCGACTTGCCCTGTCATGGGGGCCCCACCCTTGGTGACTTTATCCAATTCCAATTACCTCCCAAAGGCCCCACCTCCAAATACCATCAATATATGAAATTAAGGATTAAGTTTCAACATGAATTTCAGAGGAGACATTCAAACCATGTCATGATACCAGTGCTTCTCAAATTTTAATGTATATAAATGGCATGGAGATCTGGTTAAAATGCATGCTCAGATTAACAGTTCTGGAGTAGGCCCTGAAATTCTGCTTTTCTAATAAGTTTATACATGATGCTCTGATGCTGCAGGGCCATGGACCATGCTTTGAGTAGCAAGACTGTAATCTGAGACTTAAAACTAAAAGGAATTTTCCTTGGGTCCAGAATTGTTTCTAGGTATTAAAGACGGAATGACAGTCTCTTGGCGATGTTTTTATAGCATTTAGAAAATGGCATGGGATTGGGGTTGTATAGCTCAGTAGCAGAATGTTTTCTTAGCATACAAAAGGCACTGGGTTCCATTCCCAGCACTGTAGGCGGAGGAGAAAGAGAAAGGAAAAAAAAGAGGGAGGTAGAGGGCAGAGAAAGGTGGAGAAAAGCATGTAAATATACATATTCTCCTGATTCTTTTTCTCATGGAGTTGGCTTTGGAATGTTGTTCAGTGATACGTGACGGAAGTGACGTACATCACATATTCATTACTATTCCCCAGGTGGGAAAGGAACAGTACTATCAATTCTTCTCTTCCCAAAATGCCCCCAAGATATAGCAGGATCCCTACTAGCTGGCAATGCTCCATTTCACTATTTAGATAGTATTATCCAAAGAATGGCAGCCTGGTGAATATTTTTAATACCTCAGTCATTCAAACCTATAGCAGTAAAAAATGATCATCTTCATTGTTCTTTTTTCAATTCTGTATCTTCAAGGTAGGGGGTTTCCTTCCTATACATTTCCTTTTTTCAAGCAACTGCTTTCATACCTTTGATGTTCCTTAACACTCAGGTCTTATTGAGTCTCAGTTTAGTAGTAAAGATATCTAAGGAAACTTGATCTTTTGTAAGCATATGATACACCCTCAGCTTTTCTCAGGTTGCCCTTTCAGGTGGGCCTGATTCTAAAATCAAGAGACAGCCTATCTAACAAAACTGATTTTCTCTAGAATTAATCTTAAATTCCATTTAGTCATTTCAGTCTTAAAGAGTTTTAGAAAATTTAAGAAAGCTACTTGACTCATTGTTTACTTAGCCCTCTCTAACAGTAAACCATGCCTTTTACCCTTCAATAGATGTAGTACAAAAGTTGAAAGATAAGTAATCAAATTATTGCTCACCAGTGTGGAAATCTAACTAATCCCTCTCCTGTATTGTGAAGGTTCTAAGATTTTTGCCAAGTCTAAAGATATTCCAAAGGGAAATTTAAACTATTCCAGCATTTCAAAATATTTATTGTAGGGCTGAGGATTTAGCTCAGTGGTTCCACCACCTGCCTCGAAAGTAGAAGGTCCTGAGTTCGATCCCTAGTACCAAAAAAAAAATTTATTATAGATCATGAAGAAAATCTGATTAAATAGACATGGTTCATACATATAAAATACTTTTATATGTGTGTGTGTGTATATATATATATATATATGGTTAATTACATGACTTACGGCTAACATGTTACTTTGATTCTCAGATCCAACTAAATTTGCTAATCCTTAAAAAACTTCTTAAATTTTAAAGCATAATTGCAGAAAAGTTCTTTTCTAAAATTATATATTGAAATAAGGGCAGAACAATAACAACTTTCAGTGGTCTTATAAACTTCTATTGTAACTACTAATGAAACAAAGAAAAGGCATATGTAATTATTATGCTTAATGGTGGTGTATTTCAAAGTAGATAGTGACTATAAGGTATTTTTTTTTCATTCTATTCCTACCGATGCCATATATAGCCTTTTTTTTTTTACCTGCACCAATTTAGTAATACTGTCTATGGATTAATCATCTGCCATTAATGACAAATAGTACTGAACATTCTTCCTTTTCCAACTAAAGTGCACTTTCTCTCCAGTATCCCTAACTGCTAGTCACCCAGGTCATTTTTTGGAGCCCTAATAGTTACCATGTGATGGCCATCAATCCTTAGGACCTGACCTTTTCCCTACTCAGACTAAGGGCCAGTTTGTTCAGTTGGTCCTTAATACAGAAATGAATCTGTGGGGGGAAAAAAAAAAAGAAATGAATCTGTGGAATATTTCACTGGCTGTGCTAGTAACCACCTATCTCAATCCTGGCTTTCCTATCCTCTTGATAATGGCAACTGTGCATCACCTTTAGTGTTCAGTATGTGGCATGATACTTCCTACACCAAAATTCTTTGTCTTCTTAGTTATCTGACACTTGTCCCTATTAGACATAAACTCTAGAATATTCATCTAATGGCCCCTTACTTGGCTCGTATTCCTGCTTAAAATCAAGCAGCTTGAAAATCTAGTTTCAAAATAGATGTGTGATCCTGAATACCTCTATGACTCAGTTGTTTCTTCTAACAAAATGTGCATTGCTCTCTGTTCAGTCAGTTTTGGACTCATTGAGAGAATGGGAATGAAGGTTATGTCCTCTAGTGAAATGAAACTAAAGATAGGACTTCAATTTAAAAGTGCTCTTTTATTTGCTTTCGGTTCCTTGATTTTATAGCAAACCTTTAAAAAACTTATCAGATCCACAGATGTTCTAAGAATTAATATGAGGAATTAACTCTAGATGGTAAATTATATATGTCATGAATACTACATGACTAAAGGGCAATTGTGTCTGTTCTTGATATCTTTTACCTGTGTGGCCTTAAAGGGTAGAGAAGAAATCCTCAATGCTAGATCTTGATTTTGTGTACCCTCCACCTCAAGAATGTCAGTCTTAGGGCCGGGGATTTAACTCAGTGGTTTCGCCGCCTGCTGCGCAAGCGCAAGGACCCAAGTTCGATCCCCAGTACCAAAAAAGAATGTCTGTCTTTTTGCATCTTATTGAAATAGATTACAGAATTTTAAAAAATTGCCAAGTGTGGTGGTACATGCCTGTAATCCCAGCACTTGGGAGGCTGAGGCAGGAGAATCGCTGTGAGCTTGAGGTCAGGTTGAACTACATAGTTCAAGGGCAGCCTGAACTATTTAGTGAGATCTTGTCTCAAAAAAAAAAAAAAAAGAGAAATTACTAAAAATCTTGATGTGGGCTAAAGGAATAGCTCAGTGCCCAGGTATGTTGTTTAGCGTGACAGGCTTCTATTCAATACCCAGCACCGCCCCTGAAATCTTAATTTTGTTGGTATTTTTTCAGATAGCTAATTTAGAATGTTGGTATTGAAAAATATTATGCAAGACTCTGGACAAATCAAAATAAGTTCTAGGTATTTCCAATCTGTATATTTTAGAAAACTATTTTATTACCTAAGTTAGACCTCCTCAGAATTAGTGGGATTGGGAATATAGTGATACAGATTATTAGTAGTTAAAATAAAGGTTTCTATTATTATTATTATTGTTGAAAATGAACTTTCAGATTACATGAAAAATAATTTTTATCCATGTCTTTACCTCATTTTGAGCATAGTGCAGTGGTTAGATATGTGTTCTAACTGACTTTTCAAAGTGTATTTCTGTTTAACTTAAATCCAGCGGGAATTGCGAACATACATTTATAGCTCAGCCAGAGCAAGGCCTGAATGCTTAAAGAATTTTTCTTCAATATATGTTTTTGTGCCCTCACTGTCCTTGGTAGTGATCAGCATGTGCTCCCTAAGTTAGTTTCTATTTTTGACATTCATTTGGTTAATGTGGTTGAATACTATATAGAGAACCAAGAGAAGAAGGGAAAAAGGATGGAATTCTTCAAACATATAGGGGTGTGCATCAAGAATTTCAAAGAGCTGGGGATTTAGCTTAGTAGGTCCCAAGTTTGGTCCCCAGTACCACCCCCCCCCCAAAAAAAGAATTCAAAGATTCTAAAACAGATGTAGAGGGGTGGGAAAGCACACATTTGAAGCCTTTCAACTGTGACATTTTCTTCTAATGAAAAACAGCTTGAAAGCTGTAATTTTGAGAGTGTTGCAGGATTTTAAAGTCAGACACTTAGCACATTTTTTAAGAGTGCTGAAATTTAAATGTTTTTTTCCATCTTAAATGAAATTAAGCATTTTGGTCATCATAATATCTTGATATTTATGAGTCACGGAGTGAACACTAGAGCTTTTAAAATTTGGATAGACCATGGCAGCAAATCTTGTGCTCTATCTCCATTGTGTTCATGGCAAATGATGTTGTGTTCTGTTTCTTTTAGATAGTACATTTCCTATTTCTGCTTCTTCACAAATGACCTTGAACTCTTTATTTTTATATTTTGCAGTACATTTTTATACCTGAAATTCCTGGTAGTGTGGGCACTTGTCCTCCTTGCAGATTTTGTTCTGGAGTTCAGATTTGAATACCTGTGGCCATTCTGGCTTTTCATCAGAAGCGTCTATGATTCCTTCAGATACCAGGGACTGGTATGTTTACTAATACATGCTCTCCAACTATATGAGGAATTTAATTACCCTTCTAAGAAAATCTCCAATAGTTGATGGTAACCTATGGAAAGTAATTTTATTAACAATACTTAGGTAACTGTATTGGGATGAACTAATAGGGTCTGTGGACTCAAACTGGCCTCTTGTGCTATTTTGTCTACCCACTGATAAGATTATTTTTTTCCTGCTGTCCCATTCCAGAAGAAAGAAGGAGTTGGATCGCAGACTAGTAGGGAGAGAGTTGAAATAATAGTAGAGAAGCATTGATTGCCCAGTCCTACTCTGAAGTGTTTCTGGAATCCCTGTCACAATGTTAGTGATTGAATTAGAGTTGGAACAGTGATTCTTAAACTTTAATCTCATGACCCTGCGGTATTCCCCTCACCCCCACCCCCAGTTCAGAGGATTGAACCCAAGGCCTTCTCACTGAGCTATGTCCCTAGCATTTTCTGTATTTTTAAAATTTTGATAGAGTCTTACTAAATTGGTAAATTGCCCGGACTGGACTCTAACATTTAATCCTCCTGCCCCAGGCGCCCAGAGTACTTGGATTATAGGTATGTGCCACCACACCTGACTAGGCACTCTTAAAAATTATTGAGGGCTGAAAAGAGCTTTTGTTCATGTCGATTACACTTATCTGTATTTTCTATATTAGAAATTTAAACTGGGAAAATTTAAAAAATGTATTTATTAATCCACTGAATAATAGTAACAAATCCTTTACATAGTAATGCAAATTATATTTTTATTCTTTTTTTTTTCCAATGGAAATGAGGATTGAACCCAGCACCTTTGTGCTCAGCTACCTCCTCAATCCTTTTTATTTTGAGACAGTCTCATTAAGTTACATGCTGGGTTCGAACTTGCGGTCTGTCTCAGCCTCCCAGAGGGCTGGGATTATAGGCATGCACCACCATGCCAAATCAAATTACATTTTAAAATGAAAAACAACTTTTTTTTTCAAAAAAATAAAATAGTGGCTCCATTTTTAAATATCTTTAATACCTGGCTTAGTGGAAGACATTTTAATACCTGCTGCTGAACTGAGTCTGTTGCAACTCACATGTAACTTCTAGAAACTTCTACCATACTCAAGAGTAAATTAGTGTGAGAAAGTTAGATAACCTGTTAGTATTTTTGTGAAAGTAATTTTGGCCTCAAAGAACCTCTGAAGGGATCTCAGAAACCTTCCAGAAATCTCTAGACTACATCTTTAGAATTACTGGGTTAGAGCAAGGGAATAGGCCTGGGCTTGTTCATTTCCTTTATGTGTTACTTCTCTTGTGTCCGTAGCCACACCTTAAACTACAACTCTTTAATGCAGGCCTGGTGCTTTGGTTAGAGCAAATCCATGCGTTAAAAAGATGGTTTTAAGCTCATATCCAGTTGGTAATAGATAGTGGTATTCAGAGGAGGACTGCTACAGTTATTAACATCAGCATATTTCTTACTAATATTATGGATCATCTGTGTTCCAGCAAGCCTATCCTTTAATAATGAGGCTCTTTAGGAGTGTTTGTGAGGAGAAAGAAGGCTTTTCTGTTAAAATTCTTGTTCTCTCGGGTAATCCACCTGTAGAATCTAAATAAGCTCACTGTGGTTCAACTTCAGTTTGTTCTGGTCCAGTTCTTCATGATTTAAGGACTATAAATAGTACTACTCATTACAGTCTTGAGTTAACCACTTCTTTTTATATGGTAGATTTTAAATGTTTACAGTTTCTTCTTGTTAACTTGCTCTGTGTTCAGTAATTTTGTTCAATAAGCTTTTAATAACTCGTGTTTGAAAATAATGAGTTCTAAAATGTGTTTTTTTATTTTGTTTTTCCCATAGGCCTTCTCAGTATTTTTTGTTTGTGTAGCATTCACATCAAATATAATATGTCTGCTCTTCATTCCCATACAATGGCTTTTTTTTGCTGCTAGCACATATGTATGGGTTCAGTATGTATGGCACACAGGTAAGTCTTATTAATTTCTTAGATGGATAAAAATCTTAGTTTCAAGTTTTTTAAATGTGATTTCTTTGAATAAATTATTTATAATTGAGTTTATGTAGATATTTTTTAATTGCCTTTTCCTAATAGATTGTAATATATTTTTACAAATATATATGTTTTTCATTATTTGAATCAAAAGTTTAAGCCTTTATTATTTCTTATCTCGATTGTAGGGATTTCAATTACCACCACTTGTGAAAAGATAAATTTTTTTTAAAAGTTGAAATGATTTTTGTTTAGGAATAGTTGAAGACAGCCATGTGCCAAATTAGAAAAATGTTCATAATTTTCATTATTGAAAAGAATGTCAGAGGTCATGTAGGTAAACCCAAGTTGGACACAAGAATCCCCACAGCATCCCTGGCATATGAAAGTTTTACCTCTGAAACCCTGAAGTGACAGAGCAACTTACCCATCATTCCTGGCACCATATTCCATTTAGGGGCTGCTGTAATGGAAAGTTCTTCCTCATACTGAGCCAAAAGTGTCCTCCTCATATTTTTTTCTCTGCACAAGATTTATTCCTTTTTTTTGGTACCAGGGATTGAACTCGGGTCCTTGCACTTGTGCAGCAGGTAGTGACAAGATTTATTTCTTAACCACGGTGTTTTAGAATGATCTTATACACTCTAACACGGAAGGAATGATTCAAAATCCACCAAAAGTTAAAGGTCAGAGCCAAAGTCAGTGGCTGTGTATATCCCATGAAAATTATTGTTTCATCCTCATATTTTTAACCCAGTATATCATAACTATTTTGGGGCCCACTGATTCTTAGAGGTCCTAAAAAGGCTTCCCCCAGAAAAATGTTTGGAAATACACAAAACTTCACCTTAAAACTAGGAACCTTCACACCAGAGCCACTCTGAATGAGTATAATCTTCCTATCAGTTAACATTTCTTTAGAGATCTGAAGACCTTGTCATATTCTCTTCATTCTTTTCCATAGGCAGAAGTATCTCTGATTTCATCAGCTTTTCTTTGTATGCCATTTTAAGTATTCTCACCATCCTGGTCTCCTAGTTCTTAGTGGTTTTGTGTACTATATTTCAGGTATGTTCTAACTAGAATAGAGCTACACAGCTACCTCCTTTCTTCTTAAAGCTACACTGTTTCTTCAAACCAAGATCAGATGAGATATTTTAACAGCAACAGCCCACTGGGAAAACCTGAAAGTGGCATGCATGGGGATTTGAGGATTGGCTTTCAGGGTCATACTTGTCTGCAAAGCTACATGAAATTTGATTCTTAGGCCCAGTTGCAACGTGTAGTATGTTGACCACTGAGAGTGCACCAAATGATAGGAGCTCTCTGAAGCAATATTCATCCTCTTCTCAAAGCTGCTAAGAGGATGATATTGGCCCATGAAGAAGGCATAATTGAGTCCTGTTATCCAAAGTATCCATTGTGAGCATGATTTTTTCCATATTTAGCACTCTTTTGTAACTGAGTTGATTTATAAGCTACCATGGACATTCTTTAGTCTGCTTTCCTCTAATTTTTCTTTGCATTAGTTTGTACTTATATTTCTTGTTGTGGGTATCAGTTTTGAGTGCCTTACCTCCTGAATACTTGTCCCTCTTTCTAGGTCTCATATTGTGTGAAAGTGGAGTACCCTAGATAATGTCTAAAGGTGCCTTTCAGCTCAGATATTCTGGGACTCTTGATGAACTGCGGCAGTTCCCTAAATTTCTTCAATATTTAGTAGTAGGGAGTAAACTAACCATGTAACTCTTCATAGAACTTATTGGGAATTAGTTCAGTGGGTGACCCATTGGGCAGCAGTATAGTGGTGTCCTAAAGTGATTGTGCCCTCTCTTTATCCTTAGGGTAGAAATGCACATTAGCGCGGCTGAGATGTGAAATATGTTTTAATTTGGAACAACTAGGGCTGAAACAAAATAAAATAAAAATTTGTGTTCTTATTGAGCCTGACAAATATGAGTGCAACTTATATAATTTGGGGCTAATTTTTTTCCAGTTAAACTTCTTTCTTAAGAATATTAGGAATGATTGATGAAATTATATATGACCACAAAAAGTGATATTATAAAGTTTTTCCTTGTGTTAAGAGAGAAGAAAAGACACGCAGATAAAAAACCAAATTTGTAACATGATTATTTGTTAAAAAATGCTCTCAATGTACTTTTATTTTTTTAATAGTTATAGAAATATAGGTATTTTGTCTAATTTTTCTATAATGTGCTTATTATTATAGTAATTTAAATTAATATGGGAGGTAGGAAATATACTTTTTTTTTTTTGGTACCAGGGATCGAACTCAGGTCCTTGCGCTTGCAGGGCAGGCAGCGGAACCACTGAGCTAAATCCCCAGCCCAAGGAAATACACATTTTTGAAGTGACTTTGATAATACATTATACTATAGGTTGCTATTTTTCTTTCTATATTGTGAAAATATCTAGTTTTACTCTGTTAAAACCCATAAAAATGATTGAGGTCATGAGCTGCCTTCACAGAGCTTCTGTGTTGACTTTATTTGGGGGCTAAGCTTGAGGGGACTTGGGTTTTCTTTAGCAGCAGACTCAGTACTATCTCTGAATTTAGACCCAATTTGCTTAAACTCTGGGCTTTACTGAAGTTAGGCTAAATGGTCTTTCTAATTTTTAAGATCCTATGAGTTTTCTTTAGTTTCATCCCAAAGATTCCATGTAAGTTCACTGGGTTCCTCTCCCCCAAACCTGTACAGTCCATATCATAAATATTTCATTATTAATCATGTCATAACACAGGTAGAGCTAGTCTCTAAATTTTGATTCTAAAAGCCAATGAAAATTTTTCTGTATTATCTGTACTTTCTCTGTTGCAGGCTGCTTTTTACTCCATTGAAAATTGTGTTTAATTACAAAAGGAGTTAGAGCTTGTGGTTATGAAAAAAATTTTCAGGGCCAGGGATTTAGCTCAGTGGTTCTGGCACCTGCCTCGCAAGCGCAAGGTCCCGAGTTTGATCCCCGGTACCAAAAACAAAAACAAAAAAATTTCAAATATTGCTTAAATGTCAGAAAAACATTTCTTTTTCAGGATTTTTTTTGTTTTTGTTTTTGGTACTGGAGATCAGACTTAGGACCTTGAGCTTGCGAGGTAGGTGGTGGTACTACTGAGCTAAATCCCTGGGCCAGAACATTTCTTTGTTCTACAACTTATTCTTAAGAATTTTATTTATTTTATTTTATTGGTACCAGGAATTGAACTCAGGACCTTGCACTTGTGAGGCAGGCACAGTGCCACTGAGCTAAATCCTGGCCCTAAGAATTTTATTTTTAATACATCTTTTCATGACAGTAGAGATCTTCATTCTTTAGAAAATCTGCAACATATTTCATTATGTAGATTTATCATAATTAGCTCCCTTTGAATGGGCATTTAAATTATAAATTTTTCTTATTGTAAATAATACTACAGTGAATAGTTTTATACACATATCTCGAAATTCTTTTGCATTTCTTGTGGGATAAAGTCCAAAAGTGAAATTTCTGGGTTAAAAGTGCAAGTATTTTAAATTTAATTATACTGTTAAATTTTTATATTATTGTTAAATATGAGAATGAACATTTCCCAATACCTTTTTTTCACAATTATCTTTAAAATTTTCCCCTAATAAGTTAAAAAAAGGAATCCAGTTTATATTTCCCTTATCAGTAGTAAAACTGAGCATTTTTCATTTTTTTTTAGCCATCTGTATTTCTCCTTTTATGACTTGCAAATTTTCTTAACTTACTTTGGTTTGGTTTGGTTTAGTGCTGGGAATCAAACCCAGGACCTTGCACATGCTAAGTGTGTGCTCTACCACGAAGCTACACTTCCAGCTCCCCACCTGCGTCTCCCCCTGCATCTCCTATTTTGAGACAGGAATCCTGGTACCCCATACGTGGCTGTAGCTCTTGGTCTCAAGCAGTCCTCCTCCTCCTCCCCTGTGCTGGGCTTGTAGGCAGTGCCGCTGCACTCAGCTTCATTTGCCTTTTTATTGATTTATGGGACCTCTTTGTATGTCAGAACTACAAATCTTTTATTTTATGTATATTCTGAATATTTTGTGCCAGAATGTTTGCTTTTTATTTTTGTCAGTGATTCTGTGGAATTGTTTGTCATATAAAAGCTTTCAGTTTGGATTAAATTACTTTTTAGTTTAGTTGAAAGTCTTACAGTGAAGGTTACTATAGTTGAATCAGTCTCGCAAACAACCCATCTCTTGTGTTAGTTAATGTATCATTGATGCTTGTCTCTCTATTGCTTTTCCACAGAAAGGGGAGTGTGTTTGCCTACAGTATCCCTCTGGATACTCTTTGTTTATATTGAAGCAGCAATTAGATTTAAAGATCTCAAAAATTTTCATGTAGACCTTTGTCGTCCGTTTGCTGCTCACTGGTAAGTATTTGTAATCTTAATTTATAATTCATTCCAGTGTAGAATGGGAAGTTCAACTGTTTAGTTTTTCTCAGAGATTGTACATGGGCCCTAGAAGAAATACAGCATGGTAATAAAGAGCATGAGCCCTCTTTTCAGGCAGATGAATGGTAGAACCCCAGCTCTTTCCCCTGACAGCTGTGTTACTGAGTGTGTCATTGTTTCTAACCCTCCACTTTCTTACCTGTCTCCTAGGGTCATGGGAAAGAGGAAATGGGGCAATATACATAAAATGTTTAACTTAATGCCAAGCACTTAGGTGTCTGATGAATATTACTTATTTTTATTATAATCTGATAATGATTCCAAACCTCTTGATGAAATGTATGGCTGTTTCATGAAGCTTGAAAGAACTTAGAATTTTCTTAGCCTATTTATTTATTTATTTGAAGATAATATTTATAGGAGCCTATTTATTTATAGGCGATAATACTAATTTTAAAAGAATATTATTTCTCCTCATGAAATATAAATATTGAATATTTTTCATTAAACTTTAAAAACATTTTTGAAAACGAGCTTTATTTTTATTTATAAATATTGTGAAAGTCATTTAATGTATGTTTCTCCTAAACACACCAATTTTTGCTAATATTTAATGGCAAAACCCCAGATAAACTAGAACCAACTAAAAAAAAAACTGTTTCTGGTATTTTTAGTTTTTTCACAAGTGAATTAAATAAACCTGGTCAGTAAGACTTGTCACTTTAAATTTGTAATTATAAATTGATAAGTTTCAATGTTAATGTAACTTAATACAGGTTTGACAATGTTTGCAGAAGTTTTACAACAACAGTATTAGGCTAATAGGATGAGATGAATGAAACTATTTCAACTTTTATCCCAGAGATTAAAGTTGTAAGTATTCCTGGTTTAATTTGGTGGCACAACCCAAATGTTAGCACTGATATCAGATACTTATTTAAGTGATTCCTTATGTATGACAGACTGTTTAATTTATGTATGACAGAGTGTTTATAAACTAATTTTCCAGGAATAACTGGTGACGTTATCCCTCAGGCAGCAAGAAGATGAAAGTAGTCACCTGAAATTGGCCCTGCCTTCTAGTATTAAAACCAAATAATGTCCTTTTGATTTTTTTGACACACAGAATGTTTACTTTTGGCCACCCATAAAGTCTCTACCTTTTTAGTTTTTAAAATCATACAAATGTCTAAGTTCTAATGCATAAGGCAGTTCAGTGTTTCTTCCAAGATGTTGCCTACTATGTCTGACTGTCAGTGTGGTGACTCCTTCAATTAAAGAACACTGAAGTCTAATAAAAAGTGCCTTCATATGGTCTATTCTTCCTCAGGGATTTGTTCTGCTTTCTACAGCAGACCAGAGATTGTTTATTGAATGCTATCTTTAGCTGCCATCATCAACTAGAATTTATTTTAATTCTAAGAAATTATTCTCTAATTTTAAGTCATAGGTATCCTCTATTGCTTGTTGCACTTGTTGTTTGTTTTAAGCTTGCAATTACTGGCTGGATTGTCTTCTTTCTAGTATTGGGTACCCTGTGGTGACTTTGGGCTTTGGCTTCAAAAGTTATGTGAGCTACAAAATGCGATTAAGGAAGCAAAAGGAAGTGCAAAAGGAGAACGAATTTTATATGCAGCTTCTTCAACAGGCTCTCCCTCCAGAGCAAAAGATGCTACAGAAGCAAGAAAAAGAGGCCGAGGAAGGTAGGTCTTTACCCTAAAGCTTATGGCCTAATAGCCTGGTCATCATTTTGTCTCTCAGAATTTTCGTTTTAGGAAAAATAGCTAGCATTTTGGATTTTCCTGTTTTTTGGTGTTCTACATCAGGGCTATTTTTGTTTTGTTTTGTATTTGGTCATGAAGTACAGTGTGCAGTTTTTTACCCACTCTCTGAAGGCCATTTGCTTTTAAATATGTATGTTTAATTATGTTTTTAATTTCTTATATTTTAATATTTTGTTTAAAATTTTTAAAAATATTTATTCTCAGCAACAAAATAATTTGTGACTTAACTTGTAATTGAAGCAAACCAACCAGGAACCAAAGTATAAGCAAGATAGAGATGTGAACATGTAGAATTAAATTTTATAAATCAAAAGTCTTCTAAATAGAGCAAAGACAGGTAGTTCCTATTCTGATGTTTTGTATAATGTAATATGGATTTTAAATTTACCAATTTCTAATGAGACCTCTTGTGAGCATTTAACTAAGAAATGGATGTATTGACAGCAATATTAGTTTTCTTGGTTTGGGAGTTGGAAGTTTGAGGTCATGTTTTTACTTAATATATGTCAAAATCTTTTTCTTTTGTGCGATACAAAAATATCTCTCAAGTGCCAGGCATGGTGGCACTTACCTATAATCCGAGCACTCAGGAGGCTGAGGCAGGAGGATCACCATGAGTTTGAGGCCAGCCTGGGCTACATAGTAAGTGCAGGGCAAGTGAGACCCTGTCTCAAAAAAAATCCTCAAGTAAACCTTAAATTGGAATGTGTAATCCCGATACAGAAAATTCTTTACCAAGTGGCTTGGTAAATGATACAGACTTTTTGTTACCTCAACATTATAGTTAAGAAAGAGGATAGATGTCCTTATATCCTAAAATTACACCTTTTTTTTTGTTTCATTTAACTTATTTTCAGTAAAGTGAGTAGCAGTTTGCTTAATCTTGGCACTTTTTGAAATATAACCTCTTAGAATAATCTGCATTGGTCCTTTCACCCTTGTGACAGGGAAGTTTGATTCAATGTAAATGAAGTTGACTTGAATATAAAATTCTAATCTTGTTTTATTTATTTATTTACTTCTAATCTTGTTTTAAGGCCAAACTTTTATTTTTTTGGTACTGGGGATCGAACTTGGGACCTTGCGCTTGCGAGGCAGGCCGCGGAACCACTGAGCTAAATCCCCAGCCCCAAGGTCAAACTTTTAATGGCTTGATTTTTATAAATAAATGGTGACTTTCCAAATGTGCAGGTTCTCATATGTATTTGGATTTGTTTCTTGAAGTTAGCATAATTCATGGTAGCTATGCTTCTAAGTAATTTGCAAATTAATGTAGTAAATTTCTAAGCATAGTTAATACAGTTTGTTGAATCAGTCTAGTCTGTATTAAAAAGCTAAATATTCTGGTATGGGGTTTTTTTGTTTGTTGGTTTGTTTTTGGTATTGTAGCAGCAAGAGGATTACCTGATATGGATTCCTCGATTCTTATACACCACAACGGAGGCATCCCAGCCAATAAAAAACTGTCCACAACTTTACCAGAGATAGAGTATCGAGACAAAGGGAAAGAAAAGGACAAGGATGCCAAGAAACACAACCTTGGAATAAATAACAACAATATTCTACAACCTGTAGACTCTAAAATACAAGAAATTGAGTATATGGAAAACCATATCAATAGTAAAAGATTAAATAACGATCTTGTGGGAAGTACAGAAAATCTCTTGAAAGAGGACTCATGTACTGCTTCCTCAAAAAATTATAAAAATGCCAGTGGAGTTGTGAACTCCTCACCTCGAAGTCACAGCACCACAAACGGGAGCATTCCTTCCTCATCTAGTAAAAATGAGAAGAAGCAGAAGTGCACTAGCAAGAGCCCAAGTACACACAAGGACTTAATGGAAAACTGTATTCCTAATAACCAGCTAAGCAAACCAGATGCACTGGTAAGGTAAGTATGTGTGCTGGATCCTTACCAACACTTTCCAAAAAACTTGACATGCTCTTGAAAAACAAACACTCCCCAGTGGGCCTGTAGGGATTGTTTATGATTGGATACTGTGACTAGTGACATTTTGGTGTTTGTTTTACATGGATTTGTTGGTCACCTTGTGTCATTGTCTTAAGTATTGACTAAGCGTTCTGTGGGGTTCTGAATCAAAGGTGATGTGATGATTTTCCACATTTGACAGATTTGTGTGTGACCTGATTTTTCAGATGGTGTTGGAAGGCTCTTTAGTCCTTGTCCTTTTATGTTTGCATAGTCAAAGTTCTTCTGGCAAAACCCCAGGAAAGAAGAGTTTGGGCCCTGTTCAGGCAAATCTCTGTCAAATAGATAAGAGTTGGGGGAGGCAGAGGCTTGAGAAAGTTGTCTTTACCACTTTGCCTGTTTTGTTTACTTTGTTTATTTGCTTTTCCTGCACTTAGAAAGTGAATTATCCCTAAATAACTCGGGTAGTTAGGTTCGAAAAGTAGTCTCTTTCAAAAAACCTGATAGACCAATACAATGTTAGGTGTGGATTTTCATCTGAAATGTTCCTTTTATCTTCGGTTAAAAGAATAACGTTGTATTACGCTAACTGGCTCAGACTTAATTTTGCTGTATTTGTATAATTTTCTTGGCCAAGCATGAATATGTTGCTTTTACCTCAGATCTTTGACCTGGAAACTGAGATCTGAACCAGAGCTTTTCTCCTCACATGTTACCCAAGAGGGCATTTGTAACTCACCCAGTCCAGTGAGTTATCTTCTATTCTACTTCCTTTTGCTTAAAGACCAGGGACAACTTATTTGAAGGTGTGTGTGTGTTGGGGCGTAAGGAGTGGGGGAGGTAATCCAACATTATAAATTACATGAACCAAATTGTTCATTTGCTTTAACTTTCTGATTGGCAGCTGGATTAAGGGAGATATACTGATGTTCTACTGCTACAGGCTCTAGAGGTCTTGTAGCTTCCCATACTATGAAACATGCTGTTGCTATTGCTGACGCTAGGTAGGCACCCACATCTGTTGGTGATAACCTGACCACTCATGCTGGGCACAGAAAACACTCAGAAGACAGCCCTGCTCCAGATGCCCGTGGGAGAAAGACCAATTAGTGAATCTTCTGTTTCAAAAGGAATTTCCCACAAATCCTCTAGATGCTATAGATGAAATATCTGTCACAAGCTATTTAATGTCCTTTCTCCTATGGGATTTTTTTTTTTTTTTGGAATAGCTCTCAAGCCAAAGCAATCTTCCTATGTTGGTTCCTATGTTGGTTGTTGCAGAGAGAGCAATCAAGGCTTAGTCTGTGGGACTCTCCCTTGCACCCCAGTGTGATGTTGATTGACTCCATCACCTGATCTGCTTTTGAGACAGATTGAGAACCCAGACAACCAGTTGTCCAGTAAACTGCAGGATTGCTGTGACTTGTGCCTCTTGCTCACTCCTGGGGAGTATGCCTCTTTTGTGGTCAGCGCGCATACTCTGCCTTGACCTATAGGGCCCCAGGGCATTACTCTGTTTTAGAGAACTATGTTCTATCAAATAAAGATAGAAAAAAATTATATTTTTGTAGTTTTGTAAACTTCTATAGTATTATTTTCAACTTTTAATGTAACATAAAAATAAAGGGATGAGCCAGTTGTGGTGGTACATGACTGTAATCCCAACATTCTGGATACTAGGGCAGGAGGATCACAAGTTCAAGTCCAGTTTAGCAACTTAAGCAAGATACTGTCTTAAAATTTAAAAAGTTTTTAAATGGGCTGGGAATGTAGCTCAGTGCAAAGGCTCTGGATTTAATCCCCAGTTTTGCAAATAAATAAATGAATGAATGAATGGATGGATGACCTAAATATCCAACAACAGGAGAAATCTAAATATAGTCCATTCATTTAATAAACTTTGAGTGTAGACATTACAAAATCGTACTTTTGAGCCATATTAAAGAATATGGAAGAGTATTGTTTTTTTTTTCTGGTACCAGGGATCAAACCCAGGTCCTCAGCATTGCCAGGCAGGCATAGCGCCACTGAGAAACATCTCCAGCCCTGAGTATTCATGATGTAATGTTAGAAAGCAATTAAAAACAATTTTTCTAATATACACAGAATAAGAGATCTGAAGAGAAAAGAACCAAAATATTGACAAAAGTTTTGATACAAGGTTAGTACTGGGCATTTAGTTTTTCTTTTTGTTTTCATACATTTTCATATTTTTCCATGATGAGCAAAATAAAGAATTTAAAAGGAAAGATAGTTATCTAAGCAAATTATCCAGCTTGGTTGGCAGAGGCCCTATCTCATTTCCTCTCACCCTTGCCATTCCCCTCAGTTTCCTCTTGTTTGACTTCATATATGTTTTCAAGAATGTTAAGACTGACTGATCCACAGCTGACATGTTTGAATTGTTAGCTAAGGAGTGAGTTTGTTATCTTCAGATGGAGAAGACTGGAATAAGTGGTGTCTGCGTCTCTTTTTAATGCAAACATATACAGCTGCTTATTTCCACAGGCACAACAGGATTGTACACAGTTCTAGGCTGGCTGTAATTTCCACAGGGGTGCCTTCAATCCTTTTTCAAATATCTAAGAAAAAAATTGAAAACAATTATTACATTAATTTATTAATAATTTTACTGCAGTAATGAATTAGTTGTAATACATGTACAGCTGTCTATCTCAACACCATGGTTAAAACTTTTTGAGGAACAAGGTCAACGACTTTTGGAGAGAAAGTTAGTTACTAGTCCACCACTTTTAAGGAAAGTTCTTGTAGATGCATGTGGCTGACCAAATAAAATGTGACACATTCCCCATGAAGAGGCCAGCAGTCCTGCAAGCCTTTTTCTCAAGCTCTCTAAGCTCCATGGATGTTTCCTAGAATGCTGTATACCATGGGAATGCAAAAACAGCAGCACACAAGCCAAATCTGTCCTACTGGCAGTTTTTGTAAATATAAATTTTGTTGGAACACAGGCTCTCATTCACTTACATAATGTCAGTGGCTGCTTTTGAGCTACAGTAGCAGAGTTGATAGCTTTGACAAACTATATGGCCTGGAAAGCCAAAAATATTTCTTCTCCAGCCCTTTACAGAAAACATTAAGCTGACGCCTGTTGTACGGTAGTTGCTTCTTGTAAGGATCTTTCCCTCATAGTAGATTATGAGCTCCAAAAGACAAAATCAAAAATCTCTTCATTTATATATCTTATGTAAAAGTAAAGTTTGTAGTGAGTGATTGTTAGATATATGAATAACATGGAGGTGAGGAAATGAGTGAATGGAGAAGACTCTGGTCTACCAGGAAATGTAGAGCAGAAGATGCTGGATAGATTTCTAGGATAAAAGAACATGGGGGAAGGTGGAGAACTTGGAATAAGTGTTGCGTGCAGGGTTCATCCCTGGAAAAGTTTAGGAACTTGTCAAAGCCAGGACAAAGTCCTCTTTTGGTTTGAGAAATACATATCTTACAAAATGATCCTTTCTTCCAACTTGATTTATGAATTCTTTACCTAAGATATTTTAAAACAGACTTATAATGTCTATAGCCAAAAATGCTTTTATTTCTAACATGGGAAAAAATCCTAGCCAAAACCAGAAAAAGCAATGAAGATCAATTATTTTAGCTAAGTACTATATTAGAAAATAGTTATGTAAATTAGAATAAGGCTTAAGTTTTTTCCAGTGATCAGTTTAAAAACAAAGTCTCCCAGCACTGCCAAAAAAATTATGAAAATTTTTTAATAAAAAAGGGGAAATGCCCATCAACTGGACACTGGATAAAGAAAATGTGGTTTTTTATAAAATGGAGTACTACTCAGCCATAAAAAATGAGAAATTAGAGACATTTATAGCTAAGTGCGTGTACATTGAGGCGATACTATTAAGTGAAATAAATAGGACACACATGTATAAATACCGAATAGTTTCTCCAATGTGAGAAACTGAAAATGTAAATATGGACTAAATGTATAATAGGTAATGTGAAATAGGAGGAAAAGGGGCAAAGGGGAAGGAAGTGGGAGGGCTAGGGGAAAGGATAGAAGGGAATGGGATTAATATGAGAAAATGGAAAAATAGGAACAAAATCTTTGTAAATAGGAATGGAGGGGTTGAAGGGAGGGCTGGGCAAGGGTGAAAAATAAGAACGAAGAGAGACTATGTAAAGGTGCAAATTTCCAATGGTGAATGTCATTATATTATATACCTAAAATGTACCAATGATTAGAATGAATAATTGATAATGCAAAATAGGAAGAAAAGGTCCAAAGGGGTAGGGGTAGTGGGAAGGGCAAGGGAAAGGAAAGGGAAAGGAAAAATGCTGAGAAATGGAAAAAATGGAAATAAAGTCTTTGTAAATAAGGAAGGGTGGAGAGGGTGAAGGGAGGGCTAGGAATGGGGAAAAAGTAAGAACCAAGATGCATTATGTAAAGGTACAATTCCCAATGAGAAATGTAATTGTGTTGTATACCTACAATGTACCAATAAAAGAATTTAATTTTTTAAAAAAAGGGGGAAAACAGTCCCACCACGACAAATTATTATTAAAAATTTGTTGTATATTCTTCTCATCAGCTAATTCTAAATGTTATAACCATAGTGTTTATGCAACTTTTTAAAAAAATAGATTGTATTTTTCCGAGTGCAGTTAAGTTCGTAGAAAAACTGAGGGGAAGGTAGAGATTTCCTGTCTGCCATCTCCTACATATGCCCACCTTCCTCTCCCATTATCAACATTACCCACCAAAATCAACATGTGTTACAATTCCTAAGCCTACAGTGACACATCATTATCATCCAAAGTAGATGGCTTACATTAGGATTCACTCTTGGTGGTATACATTGTTGGGGCTTAGACAAGTTTATAATGACCATTACCATTATAGCATACAGAGTGGTTTGCCCTAAAAATCCTGGGTTATCTCTATTTGTTACTGTATTTCCACCTAACCCATATCAGGCAAT